TGGTATCAGTTTTGCATTTGGAAAAATTCTTCTTCTTTTTCTTCTTCTTAATCATCATCATCATCTCTTCGTCTTCTTCTTCTTCTTCTTCTTCTTCTTCTTCTTCTTCTTCTTCTTCTTCTTCTTCTTCTTCTTTCTTCTTCTTCTTATTCTTCTTCTTCTTCTTCTTTCTTCTTCTTCTTCTTCTTCTTCTTTCTTCTTCTTCTTCTATTCGAGTGTTACGACCTAAAACGCCAGTAGTTCGTCCACTTCTGGTCTTTGGTCTGTTCCAGAGCTTGAGTTTTGTAAGCAGACTGTTGGTTTCTTGTCTTTCGGGCAGATGCACTCTGACTTCGAAGGAAACACGCCAGCTAGAACGACCTTTAAGACATCATTTTTTAGGGAGGCAGTGGGTCTCTATTTTTTTATTTCTCTAATAAAATTGTGACCCAGAACTTATAGGGACACTTCGAAATTAAATTAACATTTTAATACCCAAATTACATGACACGCCAGCATTTTTCCACTCTAAAATAGAAATATCATCCTAAAATTACTATAAGACATGACGCACCAGCCTTTTCCTACTCTAAAAAAAAAGTGTTTAAAAAAACCTAGTCATCCGACAGCCCGTTTTTATTAGTTTGTAGATAAAATATAGACCTCAGGTATGGGAAAAGCCGTCTTAAATGTTGTTTTCCGTGTCTACCATAGGCCTAAATTGCGGGGGTTTTTATAATCGTTATAACGCAGTGGTCAGTTGTCTTTGAGACTATATTTGTGAGCATAGTTCATGATGCGCTCACAAGAAAGCAACAAAATTTGAGGTGAAGACTATTCACTGCCTACGTAACTGATTAAAAGGATAACGCTACATCAAAACACTCAATTCATTTTCGAGCAGTCACGAACCGCGATTCTATCGATAAATTTAAGGAATCTTGCTATTGGCCGATTGCAGCAGGAGAAAGTGAAAGTCAGGTTGCCAGGCATCTAAACGTACATCAGAGAGCCAGCAGTCGACTTTGGCACTGGTGCGAAGCGACTGGTTCAGTTAAAGACCGACATCGCAGGGGCCGATAACAAACAGCAGAGAATCGCTTTATTGGCTTCGTCACCTCAGAAACAGGTTTACAACAGCTTTCTCAACTGAGCAGGCTTTGCCTCCAGCATGTCATGTGTCTGAGCAAACTGTTCGGAAGAGACTGCATGACACTGGACTTTGGGCACGACCACCACATCGAGGACTTGTCCAATGCGTCGCCACCGCCAAAAATCGACTTTTTTGGGGCCAACTAACATCGTCCCTGGGAAGGCGACAGTCAACGGAGACGTGTCTGGTTTAGTGGCCCATCTTTCTTTTTGTTGCAGCATCATGATAGACGGTGTAGGGTCTCTTCTAAAAAAACCGTAGGTGAAATGAAGTTTTAGCCCAAAATTGTGTTGATGAAGCTCTGCTGCACGGTGGTGGAGGTGTAATGGTGGAAGGAATGATCAGTTACAATGAAAGGAGTCAACCAGTGCACACTGAAGGGAGTTTGAATGCGCATCGATACGTCAATGAAATTCTTCGACCACATGTCCTTTAATTTGTGATGACAACAGATATCTTTTTCAAAAGGACAACGTCACACCTAATCTGCACGGTTGACATTCTGCAGTTCCTGGCTGCCAATAACATTTAAACCCTTCCCTCTCCACCCCTCTCTGCAGACATGAGTCTAATGAGCACCCTGGGCGATGAGCTGAAAAGACATGCTCCAGTGGGTAATTTTAATTTTTGCGTTACAAACATACAGAATGTCAAAATTGAGAGTACGTATGTTCCTTTCAGCAGCTATGCGGATTTTTGTGTGTATGCGCGTGCGTGTATGTGTGTGTGTGTGTGTGTGTGTGTGTGTGTGTGTGTGTGTGTGTTCTGAACAGTATATAAATCTCAGCCCAAAGTTAGCACTCATACATAATATATGATACGCATGCCCTCTTCCACTATAAAATAAAAATATCAGCCTAAAATGACTGCATGATTTTTCTGCAGCTGAGAAAAACATTCTAAATTTGTCTCAAAATTTAAACAATTGTTTGGTGGTCTCCCATTTAAAACACACTGTGCAATACACGATGAAAGTTTATAACGTACTGTCCTGTACTGTACAGCGGGTTTTGGTATAAAAATTGCGTTTTAATTACATCGCTAGCGTAGAAACTGTGTATTTATTTTGAAAAATCTGGCATATCCGGATTTTTTATATCCGGAAAAACCTTTTTGCCATAAAAGGCCGGATATTGCAGAGTCTACTGTATCCACGTTTTCTTTCTTTGTTTTCTTTCTTTCTTTCCCCACATCAGAAAAAGACAGCAGAACGTGTGACAACTGGAAAGATGTATCGAAAAAGAGTTAGGGAAAGACAAGGGTAGGAGATGCTTAACTTTTTAAACATTATCACGACACAAAGTGGTGTCAGAATAGGAACGAAAAAATGCTTTTGCAGAACTCAAGTTCATAATGGGTGTGTGGAGACAAAGGAGTGGGTGACGGGAATGACTAAGAATATCACCAACACTCTACAATTAGGGGAAGGAAAGACAGTCATTTAGTCAACCTGCTACTGGTGGTAGTCTTAGCTGAGATTTTCAACTTCATTGCAATCAGGTCACCTCATACTGACTTCCTTCCTGTACCCCTGAAAATCAAATGAAATGTCCCTCATTGTTCCATTTGAAACACTGGTTAACAAACAATTAGTCCCGGTACAATCCAGAAATATGCGCATGCAGTAAATGTTAGAGGCGTCAAAGCCAACATTTGCTCTAAAAAATACTGTTTGTCGTTGATGGAAGTAGTCGGACACGATATGTTGGCTCTATACACGTAGAATTATTACATAAGGTATTTCACCAGCCCGAATGTAAGCCACACTCAACCGCTGCACAAATGAAAGGCACTTCGCTTGAAAAATTCAGCTCACAGGACTGCACCAAGCACTAAACTCTGTAACTCAGGCAGGAAAACCGTAGACTACCGTCCATATGTGGAAACTGCATTAGCTAATCGCTGTCGGTAGCAAAAAAAACATTGAAGTTAAACATTCGAAAATGCCTAGTTCTCCATATTAGGCAGGAAACCCTGCAACTGGTACCATCCGCATGACAACTTTTCTCTGGCTGCTGAAGATGAGGAGGGAGCGCGTCTGAGAATGTCTCAAGTGCAGTGATATTAGTTCCCGAAATTTTTCAAAAGATTTGTGAAAGGCACTATCGATCGATTTAGTTTCATGTCTTTTGCTTGTTGCGTAGCTTTTATGCTATGGTGGGTTTCTGTAGTATATCTTTTACTCCCTCCACGCATCTCTTTCTTTGCCGGCCTCTTGACTGTAGCCATCTGTTCTCGCATATACAAAGCTTTATCTACTGACTGATTTTTTTACATCCAGATTTAAATGTT